AGTTCATAATAATGAACAGTTATCAAATGTTCAAAAATTCCATTACTTAATAACCGCTGTTACTGGTTCTGCTGCCTCCATAGTACGTTCAGTGCCTTTAACGGAAGCTAATTATGAGGTTGTATGGAAGGCCTTACACGAACGTTTTGATAATAAACGCGTATTACTAAATGCTCACTTGGACGCTATATTTCGTTTTACCCCGTTAACATCGGAGACTTTAAATGGTTTACGAAATTTCTTGAGTATATTTCAAGAGAATGTAGGTGCCATAAAAGCCTTGGAAATAAATGATTTGTCAGGTTTTCTACTTTTTTATATCGCGTCGCGATGTTTAGACTCATCGACAAAGCGTGCCTTTGAGTATGAATTTCACGAGATCGATGTACCGACTTTAGACTTGTTACTAGATTTTGTGAAAATTCGTTGTCAAGTTTTACAAAATGCTCCCCTAGTACGGAATTTGCAATCAAAAACCTTGGATAGCAATAAAAAGTATGTTAAACAAAAATCTTCTTTCGTCGCGCTCTCTACATCTAGTACTCCTAACTGTAAATTGTGTAAAGAGAATCACTTGCTATTTCAATGTTCAAAATTTACGCAGAAACCAGTCAAACAAAGATTTAAATTTTCTCGTGATAATAAATTGTGTATGAATTGTTTAAGTTCATTTCATAAAACGGCCGATTGCAATTCTACAAATACTTGTCGTCATTGTTCCGCCAAACATCATTCTTTATTACATTTGGGAGTACCTTCACAAACATCATCAACTAATAACAATAATACTGGAAACTCAGCTTGTGTTAGTGCGGATGTCATTGCTAACACAAATAATACGCCATTTTCGGGAGCTTCACGCGTTACTAACAGTGTTGTACTAGGTACTGCTATTGTGCGACTGCGTGACACTGATGGTGATTGGATTTCAGTTCGCGCTTTAATAGATACCGGCTCACAGATTTCGGTAATAACTAATGCGTGTGTTAATCGTCTTGGTCTTAAACGTCGTATGTGTAATACGTCGGTTACCGGTTTATCGGACACTTATATGTCTGCTGTTAAAGGCTCTGTTGCATGCGTCTTATCACCCAAACACAATGTACAACCACAAATATTTTGTGAACCTATTATTTTATCGCGCATAACAGGGTTAATGCCGAACGCAAAATTAACGTCAAATATCCGAAAGACTTATACCGATATCGATTTTGCAGATCCTAATTTCGATAGTCCTGGTCATATTGATTTTCTATTGGGTGCTGACATATATCCACAAATATTAGGTCCGATATCACACGTACGTTATGCTCCTGGACTACCTTCTGCTTATGAAACTATGCTTGGATGGATCATAGTTGGACAATCAGATAAAAAAGATTATTCGCCCGCTGTTTCTTTGTGTTTAATTACTACGCCGTCAATCGACTCGTTACTTAATAAGTTTTGGGAAATAGAAGAGCCAGCACCTATAAATAAGTTATTTACAAAGGATCAAAAATGTGAGGAACATTTTATTTGTACAACTACTCGAGACTCTCAAACTGGACGATTTGTAGTTTCTTTACCGTTTCAGTTGGACCCGTCATTGTTAGGTAGTTCACGTGATATGGCAGTTTCTCGATTTTTGAATTTAGAACGCAAACTTATAAAGGATCCGATTTTATATAATAGATACCGCGAATTTATGTCTACATATGAAGATCTCGGTCATATGAAAATTGCCACGCAACCAGGAAAATACCATTTGCCACATCATGCTGTTATAAAACACGTTGGTGAAGATATGAAAATACGTGTAGTTTTTGATGCGTCGGCGCGCTCTTCTTCAGGTAAGTCTTTGAATGACATGTTATACATTGGTCCAAAACTACAAACTGACATTTCCGCATTATTACATAAAAGTCGCACATTTAAATTCATGTTTACGGCAGATATTTGTCAAATGTATCGGCAAATTAAGATGAATAACATAGACTGTCAATATCAACATATCGTTTGGCGAAATTATGTGTCTGAACCTCTTCGTGATTATGAACTTACTACTGTTACATTTGGTGTTTGTTCTTCGCCATTTCAGGCGATTAGAGTACTTCATAAATTAGAAAAGGATAGTTCTCATTTGTTTCCGGCAGCGCGCGGTATTCTATCGACTCAAACTTATGTAGATGATATCCTAGCAGGCGACGATACTATTGCAGGTCTCCTTAAACGACAGAAAGACATTATGGGTTTATTGTACAGCGCAGGTTTTGAACTAAAAAAATGGTCTACTAATTGTATTGACCTGTTGAATAATATACCATTGGAAAATAGGTCGCTTCAAACATCTTTCGATCCTAAAGACGACACGTCTATTAAAATATTGGGTTTACGCTGGATTCCTGCTAGTGACTCATTTAGTTATCATACAACATCATTACCGTTAATTTACACTAAGCGTGCTATTTTGTCATACATTGCTAAACTATACGACCCAATAGGTGCGCTGGGGCCAATTATATTTTGGGCCAAATGTTTTATGCAATTATTATGGCAATCTAAAGTACAATGGGATGATCAATTACCACAACCGCTTTGTGAATTATGGAAAAAATACGCCGATGAACTTATTTTAGTTAATCAGATTAAAGTTCCTCGGTATTTGAATAACTTAAATTGTACTGCACAATTAATTGGATTTTCGGACGCTTCTGAAAAGGGATACGCCGCGGTTGTTTATTTACGTTTGTTACATATGGATGACACTATTTCTGTACATTTCATTTCTTCTAAATCTAAAGTAGCACCTATTAAAACTACAAATAATAAAACTTTAACTGTTCCGCGATTAGAATTGTGCGGAGCTCTGTTATTAGCTCAACTGTTGCATCGATTACACGACATTTTTAAAGATAATGTGTTTATCGATAATATTTATGCATGGACAGATTCACGTGTAGTGTTATCATGGTTGACATCAGAACATTCACAATTCAAAGTTTTCGTAACAAATCGAATCGCAAAAATTCTTGAATATATTCCTAAGTGTCAATGGCGTTACGTTGTTTCTGATCTTAATTCCGCTGATTGCATTTCAAGAGGTATGTTCCCTTCGCAAGCTATCGCTCACACGTTATATTGGCAAGGTCCGTCCTTTTTAAAATTACCGGAGAATGAGTGGCCGCATTATTGTTACGACCCGTTGTTACCGTCTCAATTACCGGATTATAAAATTACAGCGACAACTTGCCTAATGACTACACAGGATCTTGATTTAACATGGCTACCTAAATTTTCTAATTTAAATCGTCTTCAACGTGTTTTAGTGCGAATCTGCCGTTTATTTAAGTACGCGCGCCGTAAAAGGGAACCTTTCATACTGTCGTTAAACAGTCCTATATCATATAAGGAAAAAGAAGATGTTATGTCAATAATCATTCGTTTGACGCAACAAAAATATTTTAACGTGCTGTTTAAGACACTTCAATCTTCAACTGATAAAATATCACCGCGTTCATTAGCTCAACTGGCACCGTTCTTAGATGATAATAATATAATACGGGTAGGTGGACGTCTTCGTAATGCTACTATTCCGTACGCGTCTCGTCATCCAGTGTTATTACCTAAATCATGCCCTTTGAGCGTATTATTGATTCGTCATTTTCATTTAACTTATTTTCATGCCGGTCCTCAACTTCTATCATCAATACTCGCCAAAAAATATTGGATTTTATCAAGTCGTTCTGCTATAAGAAATATTATTTTTGCGTGCGTCATTTGTGCTAGACATAGAGCTACAGCGCCGCAACCATTCATGGCTGATTTGCCACTCAATCGAGTCACTCCGTCAAGAGCATTTCTTGGGGTAGGTATAGATTTTGCCGGACCCATACTTATTAAAGAAAGCCGTCGAAGAAACGCTCGTGCCGAGAAAGGCTACTTATGTTTATTTGTGTGCACTTCCATTAAGGCCGTCCATATTGAGGTGGTATCTGATCTTTCGACGGAGGCATTTTTAGCATCTCTACAACGCTTCATTGCACGTCGAGGCATACCGTCTGATATCTATAGCGATTGTGCTTCAAATTTCAAAGGAGCGAATCACTATATCAACTCTATATTTTTTAACTCATCAGCGCAAGACCTATACTCAAACTCAATACCATGTAAATGGCATTTCAATCCGCCAGCAGCTCCACATATGGGGGGCTTATGGGAAGCAGCTGTGAAATCATGTAAATATCATCTAAAACGAGTTGTAGGTACTCAAATGTTTACATTTGAAGAAATGACTACATTGTCCAGTCGTATCGAGGCCGTCCTCAATAGTCGTCCGTTAATATCTCTGTCATCCAATCCCAACGATTTAACACCACTAACGCCCGCACATTTTATAATTGGCCAATCACTTTTAGACATACCCGAACCCGATATGACGTCAACCCCTCAAAATCATTTGACTCGGTGGCAACTAATACGCCAACTTTATCAGTCTTTTTGGAAACGTTGGTCGACAGAATACATTACAACGCTACAGCGACGCTCCAAATGGTACAAACAGCAACCTAATGTAAATATTGGTGACATAGTTGTGATAAATATGCCAAATCAGCCGCCAACTCATTGGAAACTTGGTGTAGTTGAAGCGGTACATCCCGGTCCAGACCAGATAGTTAGAATTGCTACTATTCGCACGGCGGAGACCACGATAAAACGACCAGTGGTCAAATTAGCGGTATTACCGACTGATCCCGATTTGCCTTCTTAAAATATTCGATTACATTTTATTTTTTATTTATTTATTTATTTATTTTCTTTTTAATAAAATTAATTTTGTTATTATCCGCATTCATTCCTCCTTATTCATCATTATTTCCTTTAATAATCAAGCTGTTTGATAGAATACTTTTCNTTAATAATCCTACAAGCTGTTTGATAGAATACTTTTATATAAATATTATGTATATTTATCTACCTTAACTTTTATTTTATTTTCATTGTATAATTATGATATACCAAAGGGTATTAAAAAAAATATATATCGTCAATCCTTTTGTTAATACATTGACATGTTTCTAGCATTAAAATAGTTAAATTTATTTATTGTATTTTTCATTATTGTTCACAATACGATCCACGGGTTATGGTGACCGAGAAGTTCATTGTAGTCAAAAGATCTTCATATGTTGAAAGACATATCTACGTCTTTCAATAGGGGAGGANACTTTTATTCTCACGGTAATAGATGTTGTTGCGTATACAGTTGTATGGTACCTTGTTTGTGACCGCCCCGTCAAGATGTGATTGACCGCTGATAAAATAATTAAAACGAGTTCCATGCGACTCTTTAAACGCGTCAATTATATATTTCGCTCGCTCGAGTGTCGTTGATATCAAATTGAACGGTATATTATCGTTTCTTTTTTTTTGTGTTCTTTTTGAACTATCGCAAAAGAGTGTATATACACTCATAATTTCGCACGCCGGTTCTTTACATATAAAGAGATACCCAAAACAATCTAACTTTTGGACAAGATTAATCGTCGTTTTTCCGGTCATTAGCAAGACATACAAATTTGCTGCAAACCAGGACGCTGTCATCTGTGGATATACAGGTCACCTTTATTGTATCGTTTTTAAATTACTATTAAATAATCTGTCAATGTATATATATATATTCCTATTTTAATTAAGTTTTACTAACATTAAGTTTAATGATATTTTATGTTTGTACAATATTCTTACATTGAAAGTATTAATATATGAATACTCTCAACACCTTTCACAATTTTCTATATTATATTTGTCTATTCCTGACATTCCTGTAGTGTTCTCCTTTTCAATTTAAGTTAAAGGAACACTCGAACNTCGATATGAAAAAGTATTCCAGCAAGAATAAAAATTATACTTTTATTCTCACGGTAATAGATGTATATACAAAATATGCATGGTGTGTTCCATTAAAAAACAAAACCAGTAAGGTAGTTGTCGCAGCTTTTGAATCAATAATAAACAACTCCAATAGATGTCCATTGTACATGACAACGGATAGGGGATCAGAATTTTTCAACAAAGAGCTGAGAACTTTTCTGAAATTGAAAGGTATTAAACATTTTCCTGCATATTCGGCGGTGAAAGCGTGCGTAATCGAACGTTTCAACCGTACGCTTAAAGAACGTATGTGGCGAAAATTTACAGCGTCGGGGTCTTTCCAGTGGTTATCATTATTACAAAAAGTAGTAAATGATTATAACGATAGTATTCATTCGGCGATTCGTCAAACACCGACACAAGCGTCGGAATATCCAGATAACGTACGGTTTTATCGTTTACCGAATTATTCGAACATTAAACGAAAATTATTTAATATTGGTGACGCGGTTCGTATTAGTAAAAATAAAGCCGCTTTCGTTAAAGGATACACACAGAATTGGTCAAATGAAATATTTTTCATACATGAAATAAAACATTCAATACCCGTTGTATACGTGTTGAAAGATGAAGACGGTGCGCTAATTAACGGAACGTTTTATCGAGAAGAATTGAAAAAAACGAAATTCCCTAGTACGTTTCTCGTTGAAAACATTTTAAGACGTAAAAATAATCACTATCTAGTTAAATGGTACGGATTGAAAAAAACTAGTTGGATACACAAAAACGATTTAGTATAATTTCGACGCTGATCCAAGATGGAAGAATCAATAGTTGTCGATTTTCAATGCATCGTAGATTATAGGTGTCAATTAATTGTTAAAGAATTGTCAGTTTATGCGTTTAATACTTTACATCATTACGTGTTTAAACCACCTGATAATTTTTACATGACAACCAAGTCAGCTAGAGTCAATTCGTGGTTATATCGTAAAAAACATAAATTACATCATATTGACGGCAATGTCGATTATTCAAAACTACAGACGATAATGGACGGTTTCGCCAATCGATGTTTACAATTTTACGTTAAAGGTTTACAAAAAAAGAAGTTTCTCGAAAGATTTACAAACAAACCGATAATCAATATGGAAGATTATGACTGTCCGAGAATTGATGTACTTTTACAAGATAATTCCGATGTATCAACGATTACATGTTCATTGCATAAACACCATGATGATTGTTGTACGAATAATCGTATTAAAGTATTATGTATGTGGTTAAAAAATAATTGTATATTATAAATATATTTAATTTNTATGTGGTTAAAAAATAATTGTATATTGTAAATATATTTTATTTTTTTTCAAAACATGTTTATAGTAAAAATTATCAGCTGTACAGTTTATTTCAATAAATATATTATTCTGTATTATTTGTGTATATTTATTGTATAGTGTACGTTTTTACTAGCGGTTAAAATATAAAATAATGACGTTAAACCTCTAAATTGTTAGAGAAGTAAAAACACACTCCCCCATCCGACATAAACGATCTTGTATAAAAGATCGAATTAAATAGAGGACATTATTTCACAGTATTTATGATTATAATGATAGAATGTATTCTCCTTGTTATAAGCGCTTAGTGTGATTTTTTCATGGCGTAAATTAAATTTCAATGAATATCATTGTTTTCACTCGTCTACTGCGTGTGTACATTATAATCCATATAATGTTGTACATATTGATAACATTGAGTACACAATCACATGAAATAATTATTTTAATAAAAAATTAAAATTTAGTGACATACGTAAGAGTAAAAATCTTCACCGAAAACGTAAAAAAGTAAGTATTACAACATACTTTTTCAACATCGAAAATACTCAGTTTTTTCAACACGGAGAAAAAATTATAATTTAAAGGAACAATCGAGTAACTATAGATTCAATGTATTTTATACTTATTAACTTTTATTTTTATTCGTAGGTAGAATAATATTATACAACTGTTGATCGTCTCAGAGCATACCTTGACAGTATTATAACATACTATAAATTTAATCATAAATATTAAGTATAATATACATAATTTTTTTTTAGTAATAATAAGCCTAATTTATTATGATAAATAATGTTATTGATTTTTTTAGAATCTATTATTCCGTGAAGATAATTAATTTTCAAATACACANTTAAAATTTATGAACAATTTTTGATAAAGATTTATGAAAGTTTATAGCAAAAAAAATTGAATATATTACCATAACTTTTAGCTCAATTAAAAATTAAAAATTGACATCTAGGCCAGTCAACAAAGGAAAAATTTCTTAAAAAATTCCCAACCAAATTTTGTTTTATTAATAGTTGAATTAAAATATGTATAATGACATACTAATAGTCTTCATTGATTGAAATTGAGCTTTTTTTTACAGCCTCGCAAAAGTTCAAAAATATGAGCTTTTTTAATTTTCTCAAAAAATATTTAACTTACAAAAAAAAGTTTCGTACAAAAGTTGTTTAAAAGACAATTATAAACAAAAAAATTATCTTATATTTTTTCATTTAAACAAACATTTTTCGAGTTACATTACATTTAATGTGAGTACTAAAATTTATATTCCATTTTTTTCATATTACGGTTGCTATTTATAGATCACAATTTCATACTGAATTTAAAAACTATAATTAGTTTTTATAATTAGTTAGTATTTATTCATATATTATATTTTAAAATCAAAGAACTACTAATCAGGATATAATTAAAGAAATAAGAGTTGATGTTCCTTTTGGAATAATCCGCCAATTTCTCTAAATGAAACACTATCTACAGATTTGCATCGAAGCGTTTCTTATGATAGTGATTTTAATCACTGTCAGATATCATCTATACTTATCTCATCTATGCCACGTCTATACTGTGCCACGACCCTACTGTGCTACCGTTTTTTTTTTTATTATTCTTCCTTTATGAATATATATATATTTTTAAATAATAGTTATAAAATTTAATCATTAATTATAAAAAAATGTTATTATATTATTCATGGCCTCTTTTATATTTCTCCCTATACTTTTCTTTCATTTTTATTAATATTTGTTTTTTTTTTGTTTTTATCAAAACCTAGTAGCTCCGTCAACAAGGACTATCTTGCTTGGCGCGGCTACTAGGTCACTGTCCCCCTGGGCAGTGGGTAATTAGTAGGCCCTCTGTTTGGCTGAAACCTTACAAGGGATTATTAAAAAATAGTATTTCCCATAAAAAACTTATATTGATCAATACACTTTTCAATAAGTTATAGTTTTATAAAGTTAAAAATGTAAAATATAAAATCGAGAATTTTCACACAAAAACAGCATACGGTAGCCTTTTCCAACGTGATGACAAAATAAAGTCCGAATTAATTTTTTTCATAATAAAGTACATTACATTAGCTTTAATTTAATATATATGTAAAAGTGTCAGTATTTCTTGAACACTTTCAAAAGTTAAGTTGAAAAAGTTGTAATTTTGAATATCTTCCTGTGGGCAGGTAAAGTGTCGAATTTATAAAAAAAATATATCAAATGGTAGGTAAAGACATTATGCATCTATCAAAAAGAAATATTATTGATTTGTTCGTTTTTGAAAAAGTAATGGCAATTTTAAGAAAAAAAAATTGAAGAAATTTCGAAAATTACCGTTTTTTAAAATTTATATTTTTTTTTGGAGGTTTCCCCCATTTACGGAGAACGAGGGAAATTTTTTCAATTTTTGAGGGTAATGTCTTTAACTAAATACGATTTGTGATCTATTCACGTATCATTGAAAGAAATCGGTTCAGTGAAAGCTTAGAAAAAAAGACACTAAAAAAAAAAAAACGGTAGCACAGTGGGGTCGAGGCACAGTGTGGACGATGCATAGATGGGACAAGTATAGATGATATCTGACAGTGATTAAAATCACTATCATAAGAAACGCTTCGATGCAAATCTGTAGATAGTGTTTCCTTTAGAGAAATTGGTGAAATATTTTAAAAGCAACATGAACTCTTATTTCTTTAATTATATCCTGATTAGTAGTTCTTTGATTTTAAAATATAATATATGAATAAATACTAATTATAGTTTTTAAATTTAGTATGAAATTGTGAGGCCAGCTATGATGTATGGTTAATAGTGTTGGGCGGTTGATAAGAAAGTAGAGCAGAGAATAAGTGTAGCAGAGATGAGAATGCTTAGTTGGATGAGTGGAGTGACTAGAGAAGATAGGATAAGGAACGAGCATATAAGAGGAAGTATAGGTGTTGCGTCAATCGTGGATAAGATGACAGAAAATAGACTTAGATTGTTTAGTCATGGTATGAGGAAAGAAGAATCGAAAGCTGTAAGAACAGTTATAGAAATGAATGTTGAAGGAAGAAGAGATAGAGGAAGACCAAAAAAGAGATGGAGGGATGCTATTGAATGCGATTTGAGGACAGCTGATGTGAGCGTAGAAGATGTGGGAGATCGTGTCAAGTGGAATCTTAGGATAAGGGTGCCCGACCCCAAGTAGTTGGGATTAAGGCAAAGAAAAAGAAAAATATTACCAGATATTCCGGTGGCAATTGACATAATATGATTGTTATTTCGGAATGTACAATTTAGCGTTTAGTTGGGTTTAAATAATATAGCGTCAAATCAATTACCTACTCTATCGGTTGTATCTCAATATACACTACACTTTAATGATACAATAAATAAATAAACTCACACATACACACATATGCATTTATAACATTGTGTCTAATGTAAGTATAACATGATAAAAAGTAACCGTAAAATGAAAAAAATGGAATATAAATTTTATTACTCATATTAAATGTAATGTAACTCGAAAAATATTTGTTTAAATGAAAAAATATAAGATTATATTTTTATTTATAATTGTCTTTTAAACAACTTTTGTGCGAAACTTTTTTTTGTAAGTTAAATATTTTTTTTTGAGAAAATTAAGAAAGCTCATATTTTTGAACTTTTGCGAGGATTTAAAAAAAAAGCTCAATTCCAATCTTGAGGACTATTAGTATGTCATTATACATATTTTAATTCAACTTTTAAAAAAACAAAATTTTTTCCGCAATTTTTCCTTTGTTGACTGGCCTAGATGTCAATTTTAAACTTGTAATTGAGCTAAAAGTTATGGTAATATATTCAATTTATTTTACTATAAACTTTCATAAATCTTTATCAAAAATTTTTCATCAACTTTAAAGAACCAAAAAAATAGGTTAAAATTGAAAATTTGGACTGATTATTTTTAACATATTAAAAATCAAATCAGTAATAATTTGAAAACAAATTTTTTTTTCTTTTAATTATTATTTTATATATATAATTAGTAATAATATAAAAAATTAGAAGTGATAGAAATAGTCTACTTGCAGATTTGAAAACAACGCGAAAAGTTGATTTAGAAAAGTATATTTTTGCTTCTGATGAAAGTTCCTTGTAGTCCAGTGCATTTTTTTATAGTAACAAACAGTTTTTATTGAAAATTATTGTATCAAGCCCTTTAAATTTTTATACACGTAAAAGTAAAGCAAAATATAACTTCTTTATTATTTTTATAATTTCTCCGTTTAAATTACAATATTAAATATCAATTTCATACTAAATTTAATAATTATAATTAGTATATATTCAAATATTATATTTTAAAATCAAAGAACTACTAATCATGATATAATTAAAGAAATAAGAGTTGATGTTGCTTTTGGAATAATCCACCAATTGCCTAATTAAAACAAAAAAAAAAAAAGTTTGTTGGGAATTTTTTCTGCTATTCTCCAAAATTACTCCTTCGTTGACTAGAATGAATCATTAAATAGAAAATTTTATGAGAATTAAAACAATGTTATTTTTAAGATTAATATGCAGTCAGAAAGTTTTATAATTACTATTTATTGTAAATTTATCAGAAAAACTCATTATTTTTTGCATTTTTATCGTAATAGAACACTTAAATAGAAATCATAGTAATCATTTCTAAGTAATTTTTGATATTTAAAAAGATTCTACAATTGAAATATCCAGAACTGAATTAATTTTAATGATTTACTTTAATTAAAAAAAAAAAAGTTATTATTTGGAATCTCTATTGTGGGCAAGTAAAGGGTTAGATTTATAAAAAAAAACCAAATGATAGATAAAGACATGCATCTAAATAAAAAAAAATCTACTGATTTAGTCATTTTTGATAAAGTTATAACAGTTAACAAAGTTATAAGTTTTATACATTGTACTACAATGAACTTTAATCAGAAACAAAAATATACTATTCTAAATCAACTTTTCGCGATATTTTCAAATTTGCAATTACACTTTTTCTATCACTTCTAAGTTTTAATATTATTAAAAAATAGTATTTACATATAAAAAAAACCAAGCACAGGGGGGTCGGGGCACAGTGATGACGTGGCAAGTATAATGATATCTGACAGTGATTAAAATCACTATAAAAAAAAAACGCTTCGATGCAAATCTTTAGATAGTGTTTAATTTTAAAAAAATTGGTGTTTTATTCCAAAAGCTACTTGATCTGCTGGTTCCTTATTAATATCTCGATTAAGATAAAGTATGTCGAATGAAAAAGGGTTTATTAAAAAATATTATTTCTCATAAAAAAATTGTGTNTTAAAAAATATTATTTGTCTAAATAAAATTGTATGGATCCATAAACTTTTCAATAAGTTATAGAATTATAAAGTTAAATATAATATAAATAATAAAATCGAGAATTTTCACACGAAAATAGCATTCAGTAGCCATTTTCGCCGTGAAGACAAGTCCAGAGGTCAAATTTTTTTTTTCAAATTAAAGTACATTACATTAGCTTTAATTTAAGATATATATAAAAGTGTCACCCCTTCCGGAACATTTTCAAAAGTTAAGTTGAAAAAGTCAATTTGTTGTGAAAAAGTTGTCATTTTAAATCTCCCCCTGTGGGCAGGTTAAGTGTCAGATTTACAAAAAAATATACCAAATGATTAGTAAAGACATCAAGCATCTATATAAAAAAAAATTATATTGATATGTTCATTTTTGAAAAAGTTAGAGCATTATTAAGTTAAAAATATAAAAAAAAATTATTTTACAAAAATCGTAATTTTTTATTAACTTTGATGTCAACTTTCACCACGAAGACAAGTCCAGAGGTCAAATTTTTTTTTT